CCAACTGTATAATGAACTGCACCGTGTGAAGCTGTAATTGTTTAGGTTTTAAGGAACGTTGCTTCTCAGGCTTTTGAGCGCGTAACCTAGAGTCTGCCCACTCGGCGGAAATGGAGATTATTGGTTATTACCCTGTTTGAATATCTTACATTATTCCTTGCCCACCCTGGCCCAGGCATTCTGGACAGTGAACTTGTTCCTGCTCTATCATAGCTTTAATAAAATACTACTTTGCCTAAACGTGTATTGGATTAATAGCTGTGGGGGACCGGACAGCTCTTTGTTGCGACTTCCAGGGACGCCCTAATTTCAAATATCAACGAGTCGCTAGCCCTCCTGGGAAACTTGGGTCTGCAAGTAAATCTGGAGACGTCTCAACTTCAACCGGTCCAGAAAATACACTACATCGGTGCACTACTGGACTCCACAAAATGCACCTGCCACAAAATCCTCCATCACCCCAAATTACCCTGACTACAGATGCCTCTCTCTCGGGCTGAGGCGCCCACATGATGGGACTTTGTGTCGGAGGCAGATGGGACACACAGAAACGGAATCGGCACATCAATTTTCTGGAACTGCTTGTGATATGGTTCGCTATCACCAGTTTCCTGCCCCTGATCAAGGGGAAGTGTGTCACGGTCCTCACGGACAATACTACTGCCCTCAGCTACGTAAACAAGCAAGGGGGCACTGTCTCCCAACACCTCTGCGACCTCTCCCTTCGGTTATGGGACTTCTGCATCGCCGACAACGTCTTCCTAGTCGCCATGCACATCCCAGGGCACATGAATGTGCAGGCGGACCACCTGAGACGGGCAGGACTCAGTCTGCATGAGTGGGAAATAAATCCGACTTACCTTCTTCCACTCTTCTGCAAGTGGGGGTTCCCCCAGATAGGGCACAAAAGGTGTCCTCTGTTCTGCAGCCGAGGTGGCAGGGACCCGCAGTCTTAAGGGGATGGTCTCCTCTACTCGTGGTCCAGAGAATTTCTCTTCCTGTTCCCCCTGCTGCCTCTGCTCCTGAGAGTGGTCCACAAAATTATCAGCGACAAAGCGGACTGCATCCTCATAACCCCATGGCGGCCAAGGCAACCATGGTTCTCAACCATCCTCGATCTGTCAGTGGGGGTCTACCACCAATTTCCTCTGGTACAAGACTTTCTGTTCCTAACCGAGTCCCCTCTCCTATACCACGACATGCCACATATGAAGTTGACAGCCTGGAGAGTGGTGTCAACAGCTTTTCCTCCTGCATAGCAAATGTCTTGCTAAACTCCAGAAAGTCCACTACACAAAAATCTTATTACAAGTGGCTAAGGTTTTGTTGCTCCTTGGGTAAAGATGCCCCTCGAGCCACCTCTGCAAGTCTCGAAAAGGTTTTCGAATTCCTCCTGTCTTTCGCTGACTTGGGACTGTCACATTCCTCGTTAAAGATTTATTTGGCCGCACTTTCGGCCTACCATGTTCAAGTTGAGGGATACACACTGTTCTCGCATCCTCTCTCTAAACGTTTTTTGAAGGGACTGTTACACCTTTACCCTCCCATAAAAAGTCCTGTTGTCCCCTGGGACCTTCCCCTGTGCCAACTCACCAGGAAACTCTTTGAGCCGCTCGCAACTTGCCACATGAAATTCCTGTCCTGGAAATTAAGTCAATTTCTTACCTATGTCTTGGTTAGTAAAAACTTTATAGTTTGGCTGTTATTTTTTATTCAGTCATTGTTTAAAGTTAAAAAAATACATTTCCTTTATTTTTAGGTCTCTTTAAAAGGACCTGTCAAAAGAAGTTGGTCTTGCTTGGGTTTTTTGGGACAGCAGCTGCTTACCAACTGTTTTAAAATTTTACTTTTGTGGGTATCGCGCGTATTGCTTTGAAGGAATTTATTGTAGCGACAAGATCCTTGTGCTATGTGTAAACAATTTATGTTAATTTGTTTGATGGCGATAACGGACCACTAGTGAAGGCTTTGTTGAAATGCATTTAGTCCTTTGTTCAGTTCTAATACCATAATGTTTTGTACAGTAATTTGGTGTTAGTGCTATTAATTTATTAATTTTTTGGTATCATTTCTTTTTAATTATGATATACCCATTTTCCTCAACCTCCTTTTGGATTTTTCAGTTGCCTTTCTTTCCTGAGAGGTTAAGGGGATGCCATAACTTACCATTTCCATGCAAGAGTGGATCATACCCTTCTAGTGAAGTTTTTTTGATTCCGTTAATCATATCATCAATTTCCGCTTCTTTCTGGTGTAGGCGAAGTGATCAAGGCATGGGACATCGCTGTGGGGACGATGACCGTTGGGGAGCTTTGCCGGATTACTTGCAAACCAGAATATGCCTATGGCTCTGCTGGCAGCCCTCCCAAGATACCTCCCAATGCCACACTGATCTTTGAGGTGAGTTGGAGATGAGCTCCTTTGCATCTGTGGCAGAAGCAGCTCCACCTACTTGTAAGGTTGACGCTTGAAGAGCTTGGGCCAGTGGCAGCAGCTCCTGGAGCCCCCGTACTGAAGGTGGTGAATACTAACCGTTGGCTGGTGAAAGCAAAGCAGGGTAAGATTTGAAGAGTGCAGGTTATGCAAGAGAGCTGTGTGGAATGACCGATCTGACAGTGCAGGTGGAGACTTCTGATTATAGGCAGGTAGAAAGGGTTGGATAGAGGGGGGAAAGAGAGTCCATTCCTCCCTGTAGTATTTCACTTTGTAAATATGTTTGTGGTTCTATTTCTGTGATTTAATGTGGAGGTTTATATGTATGCTGCTGTGGGTTAAAATGTTGGCCTCTAGAGTAAAGAGTGGGGCTGGATGGGTGAGTTAAGTGTGTTATGATTGAACAGTAGCTGTACGGTAGGGGGCACAGTTGGACTGGTTTGTAAGAGATTTTGTTCTGTGTGTGGGTGGAGGAGAGCTGAGTGGGTGAAGAGTGTGGAGTTTGATAGAAGTACGTGGTCTTTGTGGAAGTTATTAGCCTAAGTGGCAAGTGAGAAAACCAAATATAACCAAGCCATCCAGTTCTTTGGGGTTTGGCTAAGAAGTCCCAGGCAAGAACCTTTGGTGGCAGTGAAAATAAGTAGGAAACACTAAGGAAGGCAAGTAGGCAGGATAAGACACGTCGTCTCAGAACACTCTGGAGAGATCTTTTTAAAGGCGTTGCATATAAAGGGTTCTCAGAAAGGAGCAAAACATTGCACTCCCTTTTGCTCTGTGCCCACCAGCAGCCAGTGCGGGGTAGTGGTTAAGAGCAGTGTTCCCTCTAAGCTGAGTTAGTGTGAGCTAGCTCACAGTTTTTTAGCCTCCAGCTCACACATTCTTCTCTTAGCTCAGGAAGGGTGGCTCCGGTGCAAACTAATTTATACAGTAGTCAAATCACTCGCTCACAACTTTTATGCCAGTAGCTCATAAAGTAGAATTTTTGCTCACAAGACTCCACAGCTTAGAGAGCGCATTGGTTAAGAGCAGTGGACTATAATTCCCTACTCCTCTGCATGAAGCCTGCTGAGTGACCTTGGGCCAGTCACAGTTTTCTCAGAACCCTCTCACTCCACCTACCTCACAAAGTGCCTGTTGGGGGAAGGGGAAGGGGAAAGCTATTGAGACTCCTTAGGGTAGAGAAAAGTGGGGTATAAAAACCAACTCTAATTCTTCTGACTGTTTTGCATAACTTCTCCATAACTAAATGGGAAGAGGCAAGACACTTGTGCAAGGTCTGTTGAGATTTCACTAGAAGCTACCCTTTGCAACCAAAACAGCTGTGTTTGCAGGTATTTTAGAAGGAATGCTTGAAAGGCTTAGGAGGGTGCTGAATCCTGTACCCAAGGCCTCCATAACATCTTGCATGAAAATTACATAGCCCTGACAAGGGAATGCATCACAGCCATTTCCCTAGAGATCAGTGCTCTAGTGTGTTGTGAGGATCAGTGGTTCAGTTCTGCAGATACTAAGATAACTGGTGGATGAGCTCTCCTAGTGGTTATTAGCCAGGATGTTGGTTGGCAAGCATGAAATAGATACAGTTGGCATGTGGTTCCTGATCACACGGCTGCTGCATCTCTTCAGGATGCTTCTCTATATTTCTAATGGGAATCTGTTCTTTGGATCTGGTCCCTAAAACCGTTTTATCTGTGCCATGAGGTCTTCCCTGGGCAGCAGTGTGTGCAAGACAATGACTTCATAGTGTGTCCTGAGAATACAGGCACAGATGTAGATTGTCGAGGAGGGCAATGCAGAGGTTACCAGCGTCAAGCCTAGGGATGGGTGTGAACTGAACCGCAAAGCAAAACTCATCACAAATTTTGCCCTATTTGTGGTTAGCAAACCAAAGTTCATGACGGGTCTACCATGTGTGTTAAATTCCTTAATTTCCCTTCAGTAAAAGAAAGAAGATACATCGAAGACGGAAGAAGAAAAACGTGTTGTAATGTTCTTACTGAGGGAACATTGGTTTTAAAGATCTTGCGGGGGGGGGAGTAAAGCATGGAGATGCTAATTTTTTCTTGAGGGCTGTGATTATGTGTGTTATAGCTTTGGAATTACTCTCTGTTCAGTCAGATAAGCTGGTTTTGTCCGCAGAAGCGATGATTGGCGGCACTCTTCATGTTTGAAAGTAACTGTATAAGAGTAACAACTATGTTTTAAGTATTGTAAAACCTTCATTCTTGGGTTTTTAGTTAGGTTCTTTTCCACCTGATCGGAATCCTCAAGGCAGCAAACACAAAAACATTCAAATACTTGAACAATTAAAAAACATCTAAGATTGTAAAATAATTCAATAAAAACAGCCTTAAAAGCCTTCAGTGCAAAATCTAGTTCCTCAGTGGAGATTTAAAGTACTCGTCTGTTAATGCTGTTCTTTTTCCTGCCCTCTTCAAATAAAGTAGGACATCCTGCATTTTACTGCACTTTCTTTAGAAGTAAATCTGAGTTTTCAATGTTCTGTTTGGTCTTCTGCAGATAGAGCTCTTTGACTTCAAGGGGAAAGATCTAACTGAGGATGAAGATGGTGGAATAATCCAAAGAATCCGGAAGAAGGGGGAAGGCTATTCCAAACCAAACGAGGGAGCCTTGGTAGAGAGTAAGTGTCTGTTGGAAAGGCGAGCTGAAGAACTGTGAGGAGGGTCAGGAGGAAGATGTTGCATGGAGATGTCAGATCCCAGGGAATTGCAGCATGGTCTGGTTGCTGCACATGGAGAATCGGCTGCCAAAAGTGGCACCTGGAGTCACTTTCACCGCTGGGGCAAATTCCACCCCCCACCCCCCCCGATCTTCTAACAGTGGTTAAGCAGTTTGTCAGCACTGACTTTAGGTTACTGGTTAAGCCATAGCACTGATTAGCCTGGGTGCTAACAAACTGTTTCACGGGGGGGGGGGGGTTGTCCCTGAGAGGGAAGAGGCTGTGGGTAAATTGTTGATTCCTGAGACTCGTTGCTGATTTAATAACCACAGGTGGCAGGGAGGCAGCACTAGCTCATTGTTCCTAGTCTGTCACTGGAAGAACTGGAATCTGACCAGTCTCAGAGTAAGCTCCTAGAATGGTTTCCAGAGCTGTACAGCTGTTTACCTCAGCAGCTTCTGTGGGCTGGAAGTTTCTCTGTTTCACATTATACGTGTCAGAGGAGGTTTTTCTTGTTAGATAATGAACATAATTGCAGAGTTCAATAAAAAATGTTTGCAAATATAAGGGGGATATGTGTGGCCAGAGAAATCTTAGCTAATGAACATAATTGCAGAGTATAAGGGGGATATGTGTGGCCAGAGAAATGAGAAATTGCCATTTAAGCTTCCTCACAATACAAGAAGCAAAGACATAAAATTAATGGTGGACAAGCTTTTAAAACCGCCACATAATAGCCACACAGTCGACATGTGGAACCTAGTGTACTGGTACATGGTGCAGATCAAATGAGTAACTGGGAGTGAAGGTGGACAATAAAAAATATGGATTCTTTTATTGGCATGTGAACAACAGTTACACATCAGTGAACTGAATACTGGTTCAGTCATCCTTCTGACATGTCTCATAATACTTCAGGAGGGCTGCCTTGCATGGCAGGATACACCCATATGCTACCAGCGCTTCTGCTGTTGCCACTTCTCAGTAAAGGAGGCAGTCCTGGTTTTGGTTGCTCCTCCAGGGGCAGGACCCCCCACCAAAAAGAATCAAGATAAGCAGAAGAGGAAGGAGAGAAAGCATTCCTCAGTTTTGTTCCTGCTTCTGTCAGTAGAGTGGGGCCTTCTAGCAGCTCCCTAGTCAAATGCTGGCTGTCTTCTTTTTTCCTTGTGGGACTTTTCTGCCCCAACCCCACCCCGTTCCTCTGGGACAACAAAGAGTGCCAGCTTCCCCCTGCCCTTCCTGCTACCCCGTGGTCTTGGGTGCCCAGTTGAGGGTAGTTTCACTCCAGGTCAGTGTTAAGAACTCTGAGGTAAGGCTTGGCTTTTATCCACAACGGCAGCTCTGCTTTCCCCTGTTGCAGCTACTGGAGTGGGAGCGGTCAGGGAGGCACTGTCATGGCACAGTCTGAACACCTGTCCTCAATGCCATTAGGGATTCATGATGCTCCTCTCCCCCACTCATAGAATACACCCGTCTTTAGCAGAACATCGTGTTTGTGATAAGCATGTCCTCCTTCCTTAGTTGTGGTTATGTGCAGCTGATGCTTTGAACGCTCGCATGTAGAGTACACTTCTAATGGTAGAATCATAGAATTGAAAGGGACCTCCAGGGTCATCTAGTCCAACCCCCTGCACAAGGCAGGAGATTCACAAATACCTCCCCCTCCACACCCACAGTGACCGCTATTCCATGCCCAGAAAATGACCAAAAAACCCTCCAGGATCCCAGGCCAAACTGGCCTGGAGAAAAATTGCTTCCTGATCCCAAAGTGGCAATCAGAATTTCCCTGGGTGTGTAAGAAAGGGCCACAAGAACTAAGCACTGATCTACCTAAGTTCACAGAATCAGCATTGCTGTCAGGTGGCCAACTAGCCTCTGTTTGAAAACCTCCAATGAAGGAGAGCCCAACACCTCCCGAGGAAGCCTGTTCCACTGAGGAACCGCTCTAACTGTCAGGAAGTTCTTCCTCATGTTCCTAATGGTCTCTGTTTGCTTTATGGATGGAAAACAGTTGAGTTTTTTTTTTTAATGAGGTTCAATTAATTCATGACTAAGTAAAGTAGAGATGCTTTAACATCATGGAGATGCTGGAGCAAGTAACTTTCTCTCTTCTGTTGACCTCAAGGAATGTCTCAGACCAGCATATTGTGTACAAAAGTCTCTGTGCTTCCAGTTCATATTGCTCCCATTTGGACTGTCTTCAGTGCTTGACGTGTGTGATTGTACACTGCTTAGACTATGGCTTGAGGCTTGGTGGATGTGTATACCATGCTTAAAAACCTGGAGGATCACGGTTTCCTGGCAAGGCTTCAAGTTTTTCTGATATGAAAGCATTGAAGTTTTCCTGATACTTGGGCAGCAGAGCAAAATCCTTCTATTTTATCTGGCCCTCAATGCATGGAGGAACACTTTGAGTGTTCCTCCTCACAGATTGGAGGATACTCTGTCTACCTTTGACGTATCTGTCATGAGTGAAACCTAGATTTTTCTGGCATTAGAGGAAATACACTTGTGCTGGGGGAAAGTGTGTGGCCACCTGGACTCTGTCTAATCCATTCTTTCCTCTTGTTATTTGCAAGCTTTCTTCATAGCTAAATCAAACTTTTTTTTCAGCTGAAGTTTTAGTTTTTTCTCTTTCTGTTGCTTTTCCAATAGTGAAGCTGTGACATACATACCTCTCCCCACTTTCAGGAGCTTAAGTTTGAAGTTTCTGCCCATGTCTCTAGAAGTAAACAGGAAGAACAGATCCAATCCAGGATATCCCCCCCCCCCCCCGTCTTTCTCTTTGCTTGGCAAAAGTTAACAAAAGCAATCTGCAGTTGCAGGAATGAACCTCTTACTTTGTGTGGATGCTTGAGTCTGACTGTGCTGCTTGCTCCTTTTCTTTGGGAGAGGATCTGCACCCCTCCACCGTCCCACACACCCCATTCGCTGCATATTCCATGAGCAAGGGGGAGGGTGATAGTCTCACCACACAAGAGTCAGAGCCTTGCAGCGCAGCCTCCTCCGATCATATGAACAGTGAAAGTGGCAGCAGGGAGTAGAGGTGGGCAAACTGTGTCTCTCCCCCCCCCCATTTTTGATGATGATTGGGTTGCCAGTCCAGTCCTCAGAATGTTGCTATAGTTTTTCATTTTTGATACACTTTTCTCATGTAGAAACCAAGTCAAACTTTTCTTCCCTTGAGTTGGTTACAGATATGTATAATTTTACCTTGGTAGAGCTGTATAATATTCAGAGCATTGTATGTACATGGTCTCAACTCCATTTACATCAGAGGATCTTTTGTACTAGTTGAGATAGAAGGTCGGCATGGAGACAGAGTATTTGACAAGCGGGAGCTGCGATTTGAAGTGGGAGAGGCAGAAAACTACGACCTTCCCCCTGGCCTGGACAAAGCACTGCAGAACATGGAGAAGTTAGAAGAGTCTGTGGTATATCTCAAGTCCAGGTATGTCACTTGCCCCCCTCAAGTGCCAGATGTGCTTCCTTTGTTCTTCAGTTGAGCTGTCTAGATGAGTATATCAATGGAAAGCCAGACCAGAAAGTTGATTGAGGGCTTCCTTGTTGGCAAGTGGATGGGGTGATGCCTGTACATCTGCCACCGACAGGCAGCACCCACCAAACTTTTTCCTGCCTCTTCCTTTTCTGTGAGGAAGATAGGTCGAGTCCCTTCTGGCAGTTCGTGCTGGAACAAGCCCCTCCTACCTTCTCCTCATCATGGCATGGTTGGGCAGCCAGGTGGCTTTCAGCCTTCTCAGTGCTGTTAACCACACCTAAGTAGGCTCTGTCAAGGATGGATGGCCTTTGCCTTCATCCTTTGCCTGCAGACCCTACTCAGCACTTAGCCCCGAGGAACGGCTCCTTGCTGCCCTTCTGAGGGTTGTTGGCTGGATCCAAGACAGATTTGCAGTGCAAGGACAGACATGTCACCAGTGTTCCCTCTGAGTTGAGTTAGTGTGAGCTAGCTCACAGTTTTTTAGCCTCTGGCTCACACATTTTTGTCTTAGCTCAGGAAGCAGGGGGCTTCAGAGCAAACTGATTGATGCAGTAGCCAAATTGCTTGCTCACAATTTTAATGCCAGTAGCTCACAAAATAGAATTTTTGCTCACAAAATTCCACAGCTTAGAGGGAACATTGCATGTCACCCGACTTTGCTCTGCAGAGCTTACTTTTCACTTGGCCTGACAAAAGACTAGGAACTGTGATCCATGCTGCATTCCCTAGAGCAGCTGGCTGGGTCCAGGCATGCTCTGACTTAGCCAGACAACAGCTCTTAGGAAAGAAGACTCCATACCACCCTTCCCAGTGCTGAGTTCAACCTGCAGAGTCTGTGTGCCTTTTGTGAACAGTTTTTTTTGTTTTTTGTTTTGGTATTTTTGCATTTTTGTGTGCATGCCTGTGCCTGGAAATCATGGCAACCTCTGGCGACTCCTACTGAGAAGTGGCTTGATAGCCTGCCTCTGCCTCCCAACCTTGGTATTCTTTGGAGGTCTCCCATCCAAATACTTGCCAGGGTTGGCCCTGCTTGCCTTATTTACAGCTTCAATTATAAATGCTCTGTGGAGTAATACTCAACAGTACTTTTATGAGTTGCAGCTTTTCAAATTAAAACACATTAATTCAGGCTCCTCTTCACGCAGATAACAAGCAAAGCCCTGTGGAGGCGGCTTCCTTTTGTGGTGATGTTGCAAGGCTCTGATAATGATGGGATTTCCATTTTATTGAAGCCTGAATTCTTGAGTGGGGGGGTACTTCTTTCTTGTGCCGTGGACCAGCCACACAAATATTACTGGCCACAGAACTGGTTTAGCAGTTCCTGTTTTAAAAGGTTTCATTCAGAGGATTCAGAGTTCTCTGTAGGTGTTGAAAGGGCCAGAGGTTTTAGAGCAATCAACACAATAAAACCTTCAAGACCTTGGAAGGCAGGTCAGTATTATTCCCATGTAGGAGATGGGGAGGAGTGGGTTGCCCGAGGTTACCCAGCAAGCTCATGGCTGAAGTACAGTTTGCGCTTGGGACGTCCTGGTTCACAGCTCATAATGAAATCATGCTTTATAAAACTCAGGAGGGTTTAGCCCTGGTGCATGACCATAGGTGGACTCAGAAGCCCAGCATAAACACAGTCCTTTCCGGTTTTCACTCGTGCATACCAGCACTGGGAGAACAGCTGAGAAGTGTTTCAGCTGACATGTCTGAATTTGGTCATGGTGCTGCAAAACTCTTTGGGTATTCAGCTTTATAAATAAAAATTAGGACAGGAATGACCTTTTTAGTATATTTTATTTACTTCATTTATATCCCACCTTTCTCCCCACTGGGAGGATTGTGAGCTTCAAGCCAGGATGTCACAAGTTCATATTTGCCTTCTGGCATGTTCACTTTGCCTTGGGCATGCTAGTATCTTCAGACACCCAACCCCATCTCCAGTATGCTCCAAATAATACATTCAGTCCAGTCCTGTGCAGGCCAACTAAGAAGTAGGTAAAGGTAAAGGTTCCCTTGCTCGAAAGCCAGTCGAGTCCAACTCTAGGGTTGCGGTGCTCAAATCCGTTTCAAAGCCGAAGAGCCAGCGCTGTCCAAAGACGTTTCCGTGGTCATGTGGCCGGCATGGTTTACTCCTAGAGAAGTATGTATAGAATTGCAGTTCAGCCTTCAGATTTCACATGTGCTGTAAGAATTATTTTGATCATGTGTGTAGGCTGCTTTGGAACATTCTGTGTCCTACTTCTGGGAAGGAACTGCAGTGCAGTAGCAGATTCAGTCCCCGTCGTCCCCCCCCCCCCCCCCCCCTTTTACAGCTTGGCAGGACTTCAGCCAGAAATCGTGGTGAACAGCTACAAGTCCAGATTTTATATGAAAACTCCCAACACTGTGATGGACCTCACCAAATCATGTCAGCCATTTGTGAATGTGTCTACTGCCACTGCTGCCCTTTCTGAACCTTTCTATAGTGCCCACAGGTTTAAAAAAAGATGGGGAGCACTGGTCTACTTAGCTTGAGGGCTTTGTTGTTTCTGAGAGAGAGCAAGAACGGGCCAACCCAGCGTTCTTAGAACCTTTTCATATCACTCACAGCTATGGTTTTGGAAGTGCTGGAAAGGAGAAGTTTCAGGTCCCACCGGATGCCGAGCTACAGTATGATATTAAACTGAAAAGCTTTGAAAAGGTATGTGAGAAGGTTTTTGTTTTTTAATGGGAGGGGCTGTTTCTTAGTGGCAGAGCCTCTGCTTGGCAAGCAGAAGGACCCCGGTTCCATCCCCAGCCGCCTCTCCAGGTGAAACAAGCAGTTGGGAGTAGATGATGTGAAAGACCTCTGCTTCCGATCCTGGGGGGCTGCTGCCAGTCAGAAACGACAGCGCTGACCGTAACAAGCTGGTCGTCTGATTCAGCTTCATGTGTTAATTTAAAATGAAAAAGAACGAGGAGGGAGTTCTTTTCAGCTTGTCCAGTAAAGTGCTGTGTGTGTGTGTTTTAATTGTGGTGGGGGCAGTAGAAGTCATCTTTCATGTCCTAGCGGATCATTAGTGGGTACTGTCTGAGGAAACGAGGCACATTAATTGCTCACCGTGAGATTCCTGGCTTGGGTCCTGTACCTTCCTTATAGTTTATTCAGCATTGCCCTCCTTTGTCAAGGTAGTCCTTGGGGTGTTCTTTTCTTAAATTATATCCTGCCTTTCCTCGTGGCTGAAGGCAGTTTACAAATTACAATTAAAAACATTATAATATATAACATACAAAATGAGAACATTTTCCCCCCATGGCTTCAAAATTTCTGGAGATGTTGCATATCTCTCTCTCTGAAATCCTTTTAAATGAAGTTATCGGGATTAAGCCTGGAACCTGCCACATAGAAAGCATATGTTTTTTTCCTGAGCTGTGTAATATCTGTTGCTTTCTACCAGACTGGTGTGCAAGGTAGTACTTTTAAGTGAGGCAACTGGCATTCTTTTTATCCACCAGACCTGAAACTCCAGTCTGCCCTTCACTGACCCCTGCTGAAACTAGAGGTTGTTCATCCTCAGTTGCTGTTCACGTCTTTTGTGACTTTGTCATGGTCTGTCCAAAAGCAGCATAAGTCAATCTGTGTGTCTACTTGAGAGCTCTCTCTTCAAAAGTATAACCTAGCTGATTGGCCTCTTACCTGTTTAGGCTAAGGAATCCTGGGAGATGAACACTAATGAGAAGCTGGAACAAGGCTCCATTGCAAAGGAAAAGGGCACCCACTATTTCAAGGTGAGAACAGGATGTGGTTTTATAGTCCTTCAGGAAATTTCTAGCCCTTAACACTGTCAGGTTCCCCAGTCAGTTCACTCCCCACACTCACCTTTCACAGTGTAATGGTTTATTGGAGATATGATACTGAGGGTTCCAAAGCCTTTGTTAGGACTGAAGGAAAAAGCGGGAAAATACAAAATATAGGTAAAACCCAAAAATTCCATGCACACGGATGTCACACCTAGTCCCTGACGTTTCTATGGCAACATGGACAGATCTATGATGCCCTATCTAACCTAACCTGGCATACAGATCTCCAAGGACAGTCTCACAGTAATTATCTTGGGGTGCCGCTTCAAGAAGGTTACAAAGCCTCTACTCCCATACACTCCAACAACACATACTCCCTCCCTAGGAATTCAAAATGGCAAGCAAAGGTACAGTGATAAAAACCAGGACTGCTAGAAATCGAAAGTAAACTGGACTGAGCTTGACAAACACTTTAAATACACCAAGCCCTATTGAAGATGAGATGCAGGCATCTCTCCTGAATTTAAGTGTTCTTCAGTATTAGAAAATATTCGGTCATGTGACATCAGAAGCAGCTCTTTTTACAGTTGGAGCTGATTTCTGGTTATGGCAGTCAGGAAATTTAAAACCTTTCAGGTATCTCACTAACTGTTGTTAATATTCTGACATTTGTAGCAGTTGTTAGCTATAGCACAATGTGGCGGAGTGGTTAGCATATTAAGTATTAAAATCCCTGCTCAGCCATGAAACTCATTGTGGGTGACCTTGGGTCAATAGCAGTCTCCCAGTCTTGCCTACCTCATAGGGTTATCGAGGATACAGTGGCAGAGGGGAACGCCAGATGTATACTGCTTACACTCTTAAGTCCCTTTGGAGGAAAGATGGTAAAAAATGTGGTAATTCACTTGCTGTAAAGCAAAACCTTGGCTACCGTGTGAGCCATGCCACTCTATGTAATAGTAATGTAATGTCTTGAGGTAATACAGGGGTATGAACACTTTGAAAATTCTCTCCCCAGCACAATAGCACCAGGCTCCTGAGCTCTGGTGTTAGATGCAGAGCTTCTTGCTCTGAACCTTAGCTGTCCAGCAGTGTAGCAGAAGGGAGGGTATTTTTACTTCTCCTTCTCATTGCTGTATGGTAGGATTTGAGAAGGGGCTAATTGGGGTTGTAGTATCAGTGCCTCACATGCTGCCCCCCCCCCCCAACTCTGCATTCTGTGGGCCATAACCTTTTAAGTGTTCTGTCCCTTGACAGTTCAGGGAGTCCTAGGGCAATTGGTAGAATAATTAGGCAGGAAGAGGGGAAAACTTCCTGGATCCCAATTCATACCATAGCACTAGTGCAAGGTGCTGTGGGTTTCACAGTGGTTAGAGCCCTTCACAGCTTAAGCGCATGCTAGACTGGTGGAGAGAACTAGGACCCAGTTCACAAGAAGAATGATCTCTTTCTGTTCTCCCTCTCTAGGACCCTTAGAGGCTTAGCGGGGCAACAACCCTTTTAACCCTATAACGCTCAGTTATCCTCAACATTCTTGGAAAGTAATGAGCTTCCTCATGTTTTTGCATATCTTGGGAGGTCCCTTGTGAGTGGCCGGATTTCACTGTTCTGCCAATAGGCATATAAACATTAACTTCACTGTTAGGAAGAATAAGCTGGAGGGCTGTGAGGAGTCAAGGTGGGGAAAGGAAAAAGCCTCTTACCGTGAAATCGCAGGATACTGTTGAGCTGTAGGAGTCGCCTACCCCTGAGCCATAGCAGTGTTATACTGCAGTACAGTTGTAATGACTGTCGAGGCTCAAACCACCCCTTTTCCAGCCCAGTGTGGGTCGCTGTAGAGTGAAATGTCTTTCTTGATGTTCTACCCTTTTGCAGCCTGAACATAAAATCAAGGTACTCTGTCCTCAGTCTGAAATTTATTGCGGATAATTGTAAGCAGTATAATCTGCAGAGTGGCTGAGTAGTGATAATGGACAGATAACTATCTGCACACTAAAAGCACACTTTTAGTTCATCCTTTTCCCAGTTGAGATTGTTTTTAAAGTTTCAGATGATTTGAGGAGCCTTGCCATTTGTGTCTGGGTAAGTCTGGGGTTTTGTGCAACTAACAGGTTTCAAAACCCACATTTCAATAAGCAGTCAAGCTTTGAACAATTTAGGAGTCTTTTGAAGCAGTGGCCAATGCAGAATGTTTTGTTGGCTGATTCGGCATCCTACGATGGAGTCTCATCAGAAAATTGAAATGGCTTTTGCCACTTTGAACAGGAAAGTTGGGGAGAGAAGCCGAAGATGGTGTTTGCTTCTCCACTCATCCCTGGCACCACAGTGCTGTCATGGCAGAGACTGAAGTGAGAGCTGGGATGAGATCCTGTGAGAAGTAGGCCGTAGCTCCACCCTGAAAGCAGCCAACTGTGGCAGCCGCCTCTGCAGCCAGCCCAGCCCACCTACTTGGTTGGTGGAGCTGCTGGTGAAAAGGGGAGAATGAGCCCTGCTCTGGTGAGAACATTGGCTAGGCCAGCCTCGTGCCATTCTCCTGGGTGCTGCTCTAGGTTGCAGCCCAAAGCACTTGCCCATGGCAGTGGGTGATGGCAGCCTGCAGGCTCCTAAGCAGCCCAGCACACAGGTTGCAGCCCAAAGCACTGCCTTCATGGCAGTGGGTGATGGCAGTAGCCTGCAGGCTCCTAAGCAGCCCAGCACAGCTTTGCTCAACACAGAAGATACCAGCCATCCGGGCCCTGGCAATGGTGCAGGCTCCAGCCCAGTCGCTGCTGCAAAGCCATGTCTGATCCCCACTGCAAGCAGGCTGCAGAGAGGACTGTCATCTCTGCCTGATTAAATGGCCAGAGTGGGAGATGACTAGCCTCTGTGCCAGCTGCTCACCAGAGGAATCCTGCCAGCTTCCTGGAGTGAGGGGTCAGAATTACAGGCACTGGAGGGTGGTGGGGGAGTTTCTGTTCAGAAAACAGTGGGAATTTGAGTTTGACCGTCTTGCTGAAACTCCCATTACTTTCCAGGAGGGGAAGTACAAACGGGCAACGTTACAGTATAAGAAGATTGTGTTGTGGCTGGAACATGAATCGGGCCTCTCTGGTGCAGAAGAGGAAAAGGCCAGGAGCTTGAGGCTTGCTGCCCACCTTAATTTGGCTATGTGTCACCTGAAGCTGAAGGAGTATTCCCAGGCCTTGGAGAACTGCAACAAGGTAAAGATAAGCATTTGTGACTGTTAGTCAGTAAGAGGCATCTTAGTGCTGTGCTTGAGGATGTGGCTTGAGTTGAGATACAAGGGTATTGCTCAGCGTGTCCCTTTATCCCAAGATTCTGGCTCTGTCTGTGTCTCTCTGCCCAACAGTTCAGTGCCACGAGAGCTTTAACCTATCCAGGACTAATCATTGGGGAAGTCTTGTCTTTCTCAGGTAACAGAGCTCACGTGGCTATAACGAGAAAAACTGAGTTCACCTGTGCGTCAAAGTGCAACAGCATTCCACATTCCTCATCATTATTTCAGTTGGTTTCTTTAAACCAGGGATGTCAAACTCATTTGTTACAAGGGCCGGATCTGACATAATTGGGACTTTGTGGGGCTAGGCCATGTGTGTCATAAAATGTAACGCCAAGTAGCAGAGATATAAACTTTATAAAAGATACAAATACAAAGATATTATTTTTAACTTAAAATACAAATATGCTTAAAACTCTTGCGATATTTTATTTAACAGTCTTTGATAACTGACACCTCCCAAACCTCCCCCCAACAATGATTCTTGTCTAAAATGGAAAGGTGGGGGAATAGTGGGGTTTGGCAATGCAATTTTTAAAAATAAAACATCAAGAAAAACCACAAGGATCACAGCAGAAACTAAAAATATAAAATGTTCTGAGCCTAGGAACATAAAATGGCTGGGCACTGCAAGCTTCTCCCCTTCCCCCCCAGGTGTACTCAGGGTGGCTGGCTCTCCAGTGTAATGTCCCCCTTTGGCTGTGGACTCCAAGGTTAAAAACATCAACCCTGTATTTGCAAGGAGACAACGCCAGCAAGCAATCACTTCAACTGTACAAACACTGGAAAGTGAAACTTTGCGCTCTGCTCCATTGTGTCAGCAAGCTGCCATGGTGTTCTGTGTGACTTCTGATTGTACATATGTGACCCCTGTCCCTGCCAGCTGGCCTATGTGTTTTCCCTGCTGTAATGCCAAAGTAAAACAACTGGAGGATGTGAGGGGGAGAGTATGCTTCGCTGCTAGCTTCTTACTTATCA